TGCGGTCGTATCAAGCTGCGCCCCAGCGGAGCATTTTATTGTGTTTTGGTCTGTTTTTCTTAAACTATAAGCAATAGGTCAACTATATTTGTTGTATGGAAGAAATGTTAGCTGTACATGCCTGCCTAGCATGGTTCATCTGACCTTGACCTCATTTTCATGGTTCATTGGTTAACTTAATGTTTAGTTTACTTGGTTAATGTTAAGTTTATGTGACAGTTGTAATAAAGCTTTATATTTAGGACTATCAACATAATATCAATGATTAGTAAAGAAGGCGAGACATTTCAGCGTGTGCACTCTTGTTTATCAGCTCATAGACATAATTTTGTCATGTGATCATGATTTACTCCGGTTTGAAATGGAATTAAGAATTAAATTATAAGAAATGACTGTAATATTTTTTCTGCCTATTCAAAATAAGATATAAAATGTGGTGCACACTTTAAATAACCCGCTACGCGGGTTATTCAGTGTGCACCACATTTTTTATGTTATTTCTTCATAGACAGAAAAAATATTACAGTCATTCCTTAAATACATTATCCTATGACATGGAATTATTCAATAAATTTTCATCTAATAGGTGTAATACCACCAAATCATAGTACGTCACATCCGGTTGCATACGAAAATAGGTCGAAAAAAAATATTCCCTTGAATTTGACAGTTGTAAGTTATTGATCCTACATTTCATTGCAGTAAAACATTTCTGGGTCATAAATATATATCTTGGGTATTTCAAAGCACCATTATTTTTTTATTTGGGGTTTCTATAGAATATTTTGTTAACTTGAGGTTACATGGTTACTAAAGCTTGTACACAGGTTAAAAAAGGGGGAAAATTTGATTGGTTAACTTCCAGTGATGGTTATTGTCTTATATGCAATGAAATGTTATGTGAATTTTTTTCTATAGTACTGGACAGGATAAAACTTTACTCATGCCAAGTATTTCTTTATTTGAAACAAAGATAAATTCTGCACATTTTTTTGAAAAGTGCAAATTTAACATAGACTAATAGGGGAAAATCAATGGTGGTATTACACCTAATAGCAAGTACATGTAAGGGCGAATAACCCTCAAAATTGACACTTAGCGGTAAATAACCTTTTCAGCCATTTGTTTTTGCACAATTATCTCCCCCATAAAGATTATTTGACATCACATTTTCAGTCATGGTTCATTGACTTTGAAAATTTTTCAATAGTTTTCATGTTTAAATGTTGCTGTTTTAATTTAAACAATTGCATTAAACTATCAAAATTGCATATAGGCGAGACATATCCCTGTGTCAACAGTTTATTACATTATCACATTTCTAAGTATAGTGAACCATAAAAATGAGATCAAAACCTTTATTTAACATACAATTTAGAAAGATCATACTATAAGGAACATGCACATACCAAGTTTGAAGTTGATACGACTTCAACATCATAATAAACAACTTTTACCAAAAACATCTGGGACAGACCAGAAAGCATAATGCCACTGTATTATTTCTTTCAGGTCGTTTTTACGCTTAAAGTTGAGGTCGCAAATGCGGCCACAGATCAGCAATGATGTCCAAACAAATACCATACATTTATCAGAATCTGCATCACAAAAAAAAAACTGCTGCACAAAGGTCAAAGAATTACAGGGACAAAATAAAACAAGACCCTGAAAAATATATTGCATACTTAGAAAGAGAAAAAGAACGAAATAGAAAATGGAGGGAAAATTGGTCTTCTGAACAAAAAATCAATCAGAGGGAAAAAACGAGGTTACGAGTACGTAAATGGGGAGAAGAAAGAAAACCAGAGGAAATTGTTAAATTAAAAAAAAAACCTAAACCAAAAACACGTGCACAAGTAAGTTCAGAAAGAGAATACTGGCAGAGAAAAAAAGAAGAACAACGAGCAAAGTACTCAAGCCAAAAGAGAAGAAGAATTAATGAAAAAAGGCGGTTGCAATACAAATTGAATAAATCCAAGAGCACAACTGAAAACCTAATGCCAGCTGAATCAACAGAAACTCACCAAGGGTATTCAACAAAGGAAGCAGAAAGAAAGGCTGTGTACAGAGCCTCGTTGCATCTACCTTCATCACCTGAAAAGTTTGCATCTGTAGTTGGGGGGTTGACTGCTAAGGCAACTCCAAGAAAAAGAGAAGCATTGACCAAACATGGCCTTTTACTGACACCAACAAAAAAAAAGACATCTTAGGATAAGCCAAGAAATAATCTGCAAGATGAAAGATGATTTGCATAAAACCAGAAAACATCGCACTAAGGAGGTTTTAAAGAAAAGAAGACTTTTAACTAGCTTCATACTTAAAGATGCTGAAAAGAGAAAGGCTGGCATTTCTTGGAAATTTGCAGTTAAATGTTCAAAACTTAAAGATGTATGGGAAGAAGATTCTGAAACACCAAAAAGAAGTGATGCTTAGACAGAAGATACAATTGACAAGATAGAAAAATTCTACAAAGATTTTGACACTGTATGTCTGCCGGATAAAAAACAGGCATCATTGAAATCTGAAGAACCAAAAAGAATCTTGCAGAGCAGTTTAAGGGACAACTACAATGAATTCCTTAAAGAAAACCAAGAATGTACATTAAATTTTTCCAAGTTCACTGCACTAAGACCCAAGACTGTACAGACTATGAGTAAATCTATTTTTAACAATTGTCTTTGTGAGTATTGTACAAATATTCAATATAAAGTAAAGGCACTAAATATTAAAGGAATTAACACCAGATATGACTTGTTAGCAAGAACTGTATGCCAAAAACCAGAAGGATCTAGATATTACAAAATTGAATGTGTTAAAAGGTTATGCAAATTATGTGGGGTAGATAAGTTTATTTCCCAGTTAGACTTGAACAAAAGGCATATTATACAATGGTATAAATGGGAAACGCAGACGTATATGCATGCAAATGAAAAAAAATCAAAGAAGGTTCTAAGTTTAAAGAAAGAGAGTGTCAATAATTTCCTTGAAGAGCTCAAAAAAGAATTACAGCCATTCAGTGCTCACTTAAATACTGCCTGGTGGCAACATGACCAATTCAGACATGTGACACAGAATTTGCCGTCTGATTGGACTGTTTTCTGTAGTGATTTTGCAGAAAATTACACATGTATATACCAGGATGAAGCACAAAGTGCACATTGGTCTCATGACACAGTTACTCTTTTCAGCATTGTTGCCTACATCAGATGCAAATTCTGTAAGTTAGTCGTAACTCAAAGCATGATCTATGTGTCAGAAGACAAAAAACATGACTTTCATTATGTTCAACATTGTATTTCATTGGCAAACGAGTATATACAAAGAGTTTATGAGATTAAATCTAAGAGGCAGATTCACTTCAGTGATGGAGCAGCATCACAGTTCAAGTCGAAAACCCCATTTGCAGATGCTCTTCACAGCAAATCAGACTTTGGTTTTCCTGTTGAGAAACACTTCTTTGGAAGCAGGCATGGTAAAGGACCATGTGATGGTGAATTCGGGGTTATTAAAAGAATTGTAACAAATGCTGTAAAAAACAGAAAAGCCATGGTGAAAAATGCAAGTGAATTCTTTGATTTTGCAGAGGCAAATTTAAGACGGCCAACACTAGACTCGCAGAATGAATGTTTCATTTTAGAAGAAATTTCTTCATAGTAAAGGAAGGTGATGTCAACAGAAAACGCCAAGAGAGGACCAATGTGAAGGCTGTTCCTGAAACCAGACAACTTCATTCTGTGAGGGCTTCCAATGATTCGGCTTCTCAAGAAAAGCGCACACTTAGCTGTTTTAGCTCAACATGCATACAAGGATCTGGTTCCTGTCATAATGTAGACATGGTAGAAGGTTGGATAAAAAAGACACAAAGAAGACAGTTGAACAAGAAAGACACCTCTAAAAAAAGTAAGAAAGTTGACAAGAAAAATGTCAAAGGTTTGTTTAAGGAAACTCCAAGAAAACAGTTGAGCAAGAAAAACCAAAGAGCAACTCGTTCAAATAGCCACAAAAAAGCAGACTCACAAGAAAGAACACAGGATTTACCAAAACAAAAAGAATTTAACAGACAAGACACAACAGTTGAAGAATTGCACTCTCTTGAAAATACCTCACCACAAATCAATGAACTATCAGTCAATATTGCAAGAGTGCAAGATAATAAGGACACTCTTTTTGAAGTTATATTACAAACTTTGAAGAGCTCTACTACAGTAGATGACATGATGATTAAAGGAACTGAACTCGCAAGTGTAATACCACATCTTAGGTGCAACAAAGATGAAGACATTTCTATTTCTGGAAGTGGGTTACATATTGACAAGTTCGGGATGGAACTGTTGCCGGATGATGTCAAGGAAGAAGGATATTTCCCTGCAAGTGTACTTGGTGATGGAAATTGCTTGCCTAGGTCTGCTAGTGTGATAATGTATGGAACAGAAAACAATCATACGGAACTACGTGCCAGAATTGCATTAGAACTGGCATGCTATTTGCCGCTGTATGTGGACCATACATATTTAAGGAGAGGTGAACAACTATCTGATAAAGAAGCGCTTGTTCTCCCAAAGTCTTACGTTATGTATTCAGAGCTGTATACACCTGGAGATATAATTACTTCATCTTTGATAGAAAGAACACTATTTGAAGAGATTAGGAAAGTATGCAGTGCAAATGAATTCATGGGAATTTGGCAGATTTTTGCACTTGCATCAGTTTTGGGAAGGCCTCTGCAATCAGTTTATCCAAATCGTGGAAATCCAAATGTGAGAAGAGATCTCAATCGATCAATCTTGCCAAGGGAAATGGAAAGCAACACACCTGCATATATCCTCTGGTCATCAAACAGAAATGATGAAATGACATATGCTCATTGGATTCCAAACCATTTCTGTCCAATTTTGAAGATGTCCATAAATGATGATGTCCTTGAATACAGTACTGACACTCTTGGAGATATAGACCTGGAAAACATCAGCGGGTTGTCTGAGCAGCTGGCTTCATGGGTCATGGATTTACTTAATGACAGTGATTCAGACGTCAGCAATAACCAATATAATATGGTAAATATTTCTATAATGTTAGATGTGTTCATGATCATACAGTAATGGACAATGATGGAGCAACTTTTTTTTAATAAGTTGTTTACTTTATTTAGCCTTTTTAACTTTATTGGATTCCAGCGTCACTGATGAGTCTTTTGTAGACGAAACGCGTGTCTGGCTAGATACAAAATTAATCCTTGTATCTATGATGAGATTTTTAAACAGTTAATGTATTGCTTTCACTTGGTACGTGGATTTGTTTTCACTTGATTATCACAGTGTGTAAGAATTATATGAATTATATGCTATTACATGCATTACAATTTCATGCTGTTTTTCAGGATGAGACCACAGCTGATCAACACTCCTCATTGGATAAACTGACAGATAACCAGTCCTCGATGACAGTTAAACCCATGGATGTCCAAACTTTTGCTTCAGTTCAACCGGAAGAGGCTCTGATGTCCAACTTGCAGGACAACAGTGAACAGAGCAACAATAGTATTGTTGTGTCTAAGGTATCTATATTTGTTATGTAAATTGCAGACCCAGACTTTGGGCATGATCATACAGTTATAATGGACAATGATGGAGCCACCCATTAAAAAAAATTTTAAATAAGCTGTTTAAGACCCATTAATGTATTGCTTTCATTTGGTACGTGGATCTTTTTTGTCTTGATGATGAAAGGTGTGCAAGAATTTTATGCCATTACATGCATTACAATTTCATGCTGTTTTTCAGGATGAGACCACAGCTGATCAACACTCCTTATTGGATAAACTGACAGATAACCAGTCCTCGATGACAGTTAAACCCATGGATGTCCAACCTTTTGCTTCAGTTCAACCGGAAGAGGCTCTGATGTCCAACTTGCAGGATAACAGTGAACAGAGCAACAATAGTATTGTTGTGTCTAAGGTATCTATATTTATTATGTAAATTGCAGACCCAGACTTTGGGCATGATCATACAGTTATAATGGACAATGATGGAGCCACCCATTAAAAAAAAATTAAATAAGCTGTTTTAGACCCATTAATGTATTGCTTTCATTTGGTACGTGGAACTTTTTTGTCTTGATGATGAAAGGTGTGCAAGAATTTTATGCCATTTCATGCATTACAATTTCATGCTGTTTTTCAGGATGAGACCACAGCTGATCAACACTCCTTATTGGATAAACTGACAGATAACCAGTCCTCGATGACAGTTAAACCCATGGATGTCCAACCTTTTGCTTCAGTTCAACCGGTAGAGGCTCTGATGTCCAACTTGCAGGATAACAGTGAACAGAGCAACAATAGTATTGTTGTGTCTAAGGTATCTATATTTATTATGTAAATTGCAGACCCAGACTTTGGGCATGATCATACAGTTATAATGGACAATGATGGAGCCACCCATTAAAAAAAAATTAAATAAGCTGTTTTAGACCCATTAATGTATTGCTTTCATTTGGTACGTGGAACTTTTTTGTCTTGATGATGAAAGGTGTGCAAGAATTTTATGCCATTACATGCATTACAATTTCATGCTGTTTTTCAGGATGAGACCACCACTGATCAACACTCCTTATTGGATAAACTGACAGATAACCAGTCCTTGATGACAGTTAAACCCATGGATGTCCAACCTTTTGCTTCAGTTCAACCGGAAGAGGCTCTGATGTCCAACTTGCAGGATAACAGTGAACAGAGGGACAATAGTATTGTACTGTTCCAAGAGAAGCCCTTATATGACCAGCTCTTAGTCTCTGAGCACTACACTAAAAGATGTAATGAGCAACAGAGGTAAGGAAAATATTAGTGATGAATAGACTTGTTGTTTTAATGTACATAAGACAATAACATTCAAAATCAAGGAGTAAACAACAGACATTTACAAACAGTTAAAGTAAGTAAGTAACAACACGAACTCCACTTAAAACTGGCAGTGAAATCAGGTGCTCTGGAAGGGTAGGTATTTCCTGCACCGTATAAGGCACCTGTTGTGTTATTTCTTTGTCCAGTCCTTTAATGATGGAAGGCTACTTGTGACTGAGGAAGAATACTAGATACAATTTCTGACACACTTTTGTCATAATGGCAGATCAGCTCATGATGGCTATGATAAAATTTCTTGAGTGCTGACTGTAATTCCTGTCCAAGTAATGTTTCTACATATGTCTGATAACCATGTATGCAACTGTTCATAAATTATTGAAGTTGACTTCAGATATCAGTGTAATTATTTGTTCATAATTCAGCTTCCAAATTTACTCAACTTTATATTTACATTGTATTAGGTATATGAGTGGCAATATTTGCTTATTGCCCAAGGGACAAAAACATACCCTGCTGTTGTAAGTATTGCAGTTTTGTTCAGTTTAAGTTAACGTTTTATTATGTTTTACTGTTATATTTTCTAGGATTGTTTTGCAGAAACTTCTAAATGTCTAATTAACCACTATTTTGTATCATACTTTTGTAAAAATTTTGAATTTCCAGAATTTTAATAAAGGGTTCTTGTATTCTAGATTGATCTTTAGTTCAAATAATTAGATATTATACATGTAGTAGGTTTTATAATTTCTATATAATTACATAAATTTCTAAAATGTAACTTTAAATTACACAATTTTAGAGGGATAAATAGTTAGTTTACACATATCATAATTATTTGTGATTGGGGTTTGCAACAACATCAGCTTACAGTTGTAATAAGCAGTTTCTTTAACTTTTTGCTGATCTGATGAAATTGAACTGTATGGTATCGATATATAAGTGGTTGTTATTTTTTATACCTTTTTGAACAATAAAAAAATCAATACTGTGTTGTTTTAGGTTGATGTGTGGCCCTATGTTTACTTCTATACCCACAAGAAGGAGGACTTGTGGATAAGTGCATCGATACGCCATTCCATAATATCATCAGAGGTGGTCAAACCAATAGACCCGCCAGATGTCTGTTTGATTGGAACTAGACGATTTATGTACAAATTCAAAGGTAGATATGAGATTATTTATTAAACATAGTTTACATTATCCAAAGATATAGATATAAAAAAAATACAGTGTTTAAACTCAGATCACCCTTTTACAAAGTAATTCAAGTCCGATGTTTGTGAGTGATAGGCCAAGTCCACACATACAAATAGAATAAGTCATAAATTATAATTCCAAAAAATGTTCAGTGATGACTCTGAATTATACCCTAAACTAAATTCAAGATGATCTATAACACATACATTGACATATATATTGAATGTGTAAATTTGTGTCCTGGCTGATACCAATTGAAACAAATACCTCAATTGAATGTAAATTTTTCGAGCCATTTGTTCACCAAGTATGTGGAAATTCATGTACATAATACATGTACATGTAGATAAAGTTATAAATCTTTCCAAGAACAACCAAGAAATATATACATTGTTTGTATTGTACAATGAAGGAATACATGTACCTTAACAGTTCAGATGTTCACACACACAGAGCAATGTTATTTTATTCATATAAATTTATTAATTTGGTTAAAATAGATATTTTGCCACACATGTATCATAGCAAAATGTAATATATATATATATGAATACTATAATGAAAAGTTCAGTTAATATCAAAAGTTAATGCTGTACCATTTTCCTCTTTTTCAGATCTTTGAACTTCAGGAATCTGTGCCAGAGAGTGTTCCAAGTTTTATGTCAAATAAAATATTTGGTTAACGTTTTTATGCTTGAGTTTTACTACTGAAAATTTATTCTTGATTCCCTGTGTTTACATCTCTTCATGGCTTTACTTAGTACTTATAATGTACATGTGTTCTGGGTAGCCCTTTAAAAATCAATTTTAAAACTGTATTAAAGATTCCATTTCACCGAAACTCCCTCCCAGCGGTTCCATGTTATTGACCAATGCGGAACAAGCAAATCACTGCCCACCTTAAATATATATGTTATTAACAATTAAGAAATTATGAACTGACATTTCATAAGAATCTAGACAACCAAAGCATGAGTAAAAAAGGGCAATCAATGGACAAAAGACATAACCAGGTGCAGGTAGTGGTTTTCTCTGGGCACTACGGCTTCCTCCAATAAAGACTGGCAGCAACAAAAAAGCCTAAATGCAGTGGTTAAAAGTGGTGTTAAACACAAAAAAACAATCAATCAATATAGCAAAAGAGATATTCTAGATAGATCTAGACATTAAAAAACTCAACACAGAAAAAAACAGACCCCCAATAGTGTATTGATCACTAAATTTACCCCTATGGTGTTTCAATGTATTAATTACTAAATTTATTCTTATGGTGTTTCAATGTGTAACAGACATTTGGTTCGCTCAAAATTTGTCCACATAACCTAGATTTAGACCGAAAAGAAAGATTTTTTGATGAGTTCTACACATTTATAGGTCAGTGGGTGCTTTCTACAAAACTCAAATGACTATTTGAACATACAACAGGTTCTATAATTGTACGGGGGCTGTTACATTACGATTGTTACATGGAATATTTAGACTTGTATTGAATTTCAACATCCTCTTGTTTAGTAGATGTTATATCTATTCTTTGTATAACTATTTTGATGGAGTTTCTATAAAATTCATTATCAAAATATAAGAAAACTTGACGCTTATTTTTTTTATTAGGATATTAGTTTTTGACACAATTTTTGGTGTCCATTGTAATGATCGTTACATTTTTTACAAATTTTCTTATTTTTCTATTCCATACTCATAAAAAAATAACTTTTCGTATATTTTTCACTAAAACTATCTCTTTAAATTGTTTTCAAAAGGCAGTTTATATTGTGTTGTCTCTGTGTTAATTTATAATAGGTTAAACATGAATAAGGATGTTCCATGAGGCTTGGTCAAAACTGTAGAGAGTCAAACATCCAAAAAAAATAGTATTGAGACACTTAACAGAGAAAATGTGCATTAGGTTCAATGGAATGAACTGAAAATGCATAAACTTAATAGTCACTATTACAAAATATGTGTATTTAAATCATTTTACTGGACACCAATGTAACCTACGTCACTTTCCCACAGTCATTTTTCAGAAGCACATTTTGGCATTTATCTGCTTAATTTTATCTTTTTATTATCAATATCATGTAGTTAAACGTTTAAACTCTCTGTTATATCCAGTTATGGCATGATACTATCACTTTAAAAAAAAAAAAAAAACACTGTCCCACTTTTTGAAACCACTATTGTGGAATGACTCTAATAACGAACTTTTTCAGTTCAAATTTTTAACGCAATTTAGACAAAACTGTTCAAATAAGCTAAACAAACTTTATTTAAGTCAATATATGAACAGCGTTGTAGGGTGACCAGAGGTAACCAACGTCAATATATGTGTTTTGTGACCAGAAGTAACGAAAGTGAATGATTGTGTTATCTGAGCATTATTGTAAGGTGACCAGAGGTCAACATAGTGAATATATGAACAAGGTGGCCAGAGGTAACCAAATTAAATGAGCGTGTAATGTGACCAGAGCATCATTGTACGTGGACCAGAGGTAAACATAGTCAATATGTGTCTAAGGTGACCAGAGGTAACCTAAGTCAATAAATGAACAGCAGTGTAAGGTGACCAGAGGTAACCATAGTCAATATATGTGTTTAGTGACCAGAAGTAACCAAAGTGAATGATTGTGTTATGTGAGCATTATTGTAAGGTGACCAGAGGTAACCAACATCAATATATGTGTTTGGTGACTAGAAGTAACCAAAGTGAATAATTGTGTTATGTGAGCATTATTGTAAGGTGACCAGAGGTCAACATAGTGAATATATGTACAAGGTGACCACAGGTAACCAAATTAAATGAGTGTTTAATGTGACCAGAGCATCATTGTAACTGGAACAGAGGTAAACATAGTCAATGTGTGTCCAAGGTGAACAGAGGTAACCTAAGTTAATTTATGAACAGCGGTGTAAGGTGACCAGAGGTAACCAACGTTAATATACATGTTTGGTGACCAGAAGTAACCAAAGTGAATGATTGTGTTATGTGACCATTATTGTAAGGTGACCAGAGGTCAATATACTGAATATATGTGTTTGGTGACCAGAAGTAACCGAAGTGAATGATTGTGTTATGTGAGCATTATTGTAAGGTGACCAGAGATCAACATAGTGAATATATGTACAAAGTGACCAGAGGTAACCAAATTAAATGAGTGTGTAATGTGACCAGAGCATCATTGTAACTGAACCAGAGGTTTGCATAGTCAATATGTGTCCAAGGTGATCAGAGGTAACCTAAGTCAATATATGAACAGCGGTGTAAGATGACCAGAGGTTACCATAGTAAATATATGTGTTTGGTGACCAGAGGTAACCAAATTAAATGAGTGTGTAATGTGACCAGAGCATCATTGTACGTGGACCAGAGGTAAACATAGTCAATATGTGTCCAGGGTGACCAGTGGTAACCAACGTAAATATATGAACAGCGGTGTAAGGTGACCTGAGGTTACCAACATCAATATATGTGTTTAATGACCAGAAGTAACCAAAGTGAATGATTGTGTTATGTGAGTATTATTGTAAGATGACCAGAGGTCAACATAGTGAATATATGTAGAAGTTGACCAGAGGTAACTTAATTAAATGATGTTGTACTGTGACCAGAGCATCATTGTAACTGGACCAGATGTTAACATAGTCAATATGTGTCCAAGGTGACCAGAGGTAACCTAAGTCAATATATGAACAGCAGTGTAGGGTGACCAGAGGTAACCATAGTCAATATTGGTCCTGGAACAGAGTTATCGTCCCTTCAATTTCGGTGTCTACGAATATAGTCCCTAGTGTGAACAGTGTGTTTCTTGCTATTTTTTTTATACCCTTTCCACATTTATTTCTTCATGTTTCATGCCTCACATAGCAATTAGGGGAATGAAACTACACTGTAAAAAAATTAGGTCATGGATTTTAGAGTAAAGAAGTGATTTGGTCAAAGTAAAAATGGTTAGAAATTAGTATCTCGGAAGCTGTCAAAAGAATTCAAGACCCCTTTAACATAAAATTGTCCATATTTTGAGTTTTCTATAATTTTGCTATAATTTGTCCCAAAAGTAGTACACCATACTGTAAAAATATTATTGAGAAAGCGCAGGTGGGATTTTTTTAATTTCCATTTATTGTCTAAAAGAAATGCACTTCGAAATAACTGTGTTCTCCGGCCTTTAGTTGAAATGACCCGAGGTAACCAACGTCAATATATGTGTTTGATGACCAGAAGTAACCAAAGTGAATGATTGTGTTATGTGAGCATTATTGTAAGGTGACCAGAGGTCAAAATAGTGTATATTTGTACAAGGTGACCACAGGTAACCAAATTATATGAGTGTGTAATGTGACCAGAACATCATTGTAACTAGACCAGAGGTAAACATAGTCAATATCTGTCCAAGGTGACCAGAAGTAACCTAAGTTAATATATGAACAGCGGTGTAGGGTGACCAGAGGTAACTAACGTCAATATATGTGTTCGGTGACCAGAAGTAACCAAAGTGAATGATTGTGTTATGTGAGCATTATTGTAAGGTGACCAGAGGTTACAAACGTCAATATATGTGTTTGGTGATCAGAAGTAACTAAAGTGAATGATTGTGTTATGTGAGCATTATTGTAAGGTGACCACAGGTCAACATAGTGAATACATGTCCAAGGTGACCAGAGGTAACCTAAGTCAATATATATGTTTGGTGACCAGAAGTAACCAAAGTGAATGATTGTGTTATGTGAGCATTATTGTAAGTTGACCAGAGGTTACCCAACGTCAATATATGTGTTTGGTGACCAGAAGTAACCAAAGTGAATGATTGTGTTAGGTAAGCATATTGTAAGGAAGCATTATTGTAAGATGTAATTAAATGAGTGTGTAATGTTATTTACACTGCTGAATGTACAGCGCTTAGAGTAATTTTAATTTTTTATATAGGGCGCTATATAAATTTTCATTATTATTATTATTATTATTAATGTGACCAGAGCATCATTGTTACTTGACCAGAGGTAAACATAGTCAATATGTGTCCAAGGTGACCAGAGGTAACCTAAATAAATATATACGAACAGCGGTATAAGGTGACCATAGGTAACCAACGTCAATATATATGTTTGGTGATTAGAAGTAACCAAAGTGAATGATTGTGTTATGTGAGCATTATTGTAAGGTGACCAGAGGTCAACATAGTGAATATGTGTACAAGGTTACCAGAGGTAACCAAATTAAATGAGTGTGTAAGGTGACCAGAGCATCATTGTAACTGGACCAGATGTTAACATAGTCAATATGTGTCCAAGGTGAACATAGGTAACCTAAGTCAATATATGAACAGCGGTGTAAGATGACCAGAGGAAATCATAGTAAATATATGTGTTTGGTGACCAGAGGTAACCAAAGTGAATGATTGTGTTATGTGAGCATTATTGTAAGGTGACCAGAGGTCAACATAGTGAAGATATGAACAAGGTGGCCAGAGGTGACCAAATTAAATGAGTGTGTAATGTGACCAGAGCATCATTGTACGTGGACCAGAGGTAAACATAGTCAAAATGTGTCCAGGGTGACCAAAGGTAACCAACGTCAATATATGAACAGCGGTGTAAGGCTACCAGAGGTAACCAACGTCAATATATGTGTTTAATGACCAGAAGTTACCGAAGTGAATGATTGTGTTATGTGAGCATTATTGTAAGG